CAATAATTTTTCAGCAACACATGCATCGTGCCAAATGTTTTATTAGCACCTCCATAAAACTTGCACTCCTGGCTTTAACAAAAAAAATCTGCATTACAGAGGTATGCCCACTATATTGAGAGTCACATCTTAGTATGCCTAAACTTCTCTTTCATTAGTCATGGAGTCTATTATAAACTACTCCCAACGAATTATAATGTGGTGGTACATAAAAAGAAACACACACAGCTACCAGTATGCAAATTTATTTCGAGAGTCACTCACAAAAGGTATAAAATATGCTTTCAGAGAGAGCAGAGCAACTTTGTTGGTTAACGGTCAAATGGCGCTGGAAAGAGTGCAGGAAATTGCACCAATGATGATACATAGAAGAATAACATTGTTGTTTTGGATGCTCAATTATATCGACAGCGTGTCCTTGGTGGATGCACCTCCTAATTATTGTGCTTACGGAATCACTACGCCACTCTTCTACCATTATAGGCGCAACTTCTTGTGCACACTTTTTTTTTTAAATTGGTGACAAACGGCAAACCTTTAACAATAAATCCTGAGAGCCTATTGCCCCTTCATAAATTTTGGAGTACATTACCTTTCTCCACTTGGTGATCCAGACATCCCATTAGAGTTACAGAAAGCATTAAGGCATGTACCACACATTAGAGGGGAAACAGTGTACCACAAATGTTAAAGCAAAAGCATGACATTTTATTATAAAGAGTGTGAGGCAGTGTCAGTTATCCGAGTACCAATCTTCAGTAAAGCCTTTAAGCTTCTTAGAGAAGAATGATTTGTGCACTCCTTAATTTAAAATTGGCAAGTTTTGATATTTGCTTGCAGACTTGCAGCCTACAGTAAAAAGAAGTGTTAGTATAAACAAGTCCTGTGTCTTTCATTAGTAATAAAAAGTTTATTTAAAATGTATTAAAAATTACTGAAAAATAATTAACAGTGAAATTTTAAGCCTTATATTGTTCCCATTCAAGCAAGGGGATTCCACTCAAAACTCATCCCAAAAAGAACAGAAGAATGATAAATACTCAAGATAACTTACCATGCTCAGGTGTCCTGTTAATTTTGCAGTAAATGGCATGTTATGCATGTATGATATCAAAATGTGGTTAAAAACAGCTTCCCAAGATCAGTGTTATTGTGCTCTTGGCATAACAAACAAATCTTACCACAATCGCTTTATGAACAATGGGTTAGAATCATAATCCCCAAGTTTGTCAATGGGTTTTCAAGAGTTTCGCAGGTACTCCACCAGCTGGTGTTTAAGACAAAGAAACTGGCATTCCTACCAGAAGCTATGTGCCGTAAAATATTGAGAAAGCGCTCATCAAATGGTTGGAGATAATTGTAAAAAATATGGGATGGGCACTTTGCAGGTTCCAGCGCTGAAAGTAAGAACGGTGCAGGAGCAGTGTTGTAGTCTGGTGGGACCCCTATTTTCTTAAAGCAGTTGCACCGCTTGCATCCAGCCAGCTTTGTGCTGGCACTCTCATGTGAAGCTTCATTGCTTCTTACCGGAGTGAGCATGGAAAGCTTCACCGCTCTGCACCAGCGCACTGGGAAATGTGGTTGATGCGGAGGAGCACCTTGTTTCATTCAATACATTCAGAAGTTTACTGGCCTGGGTGCTTGATATGTTCTTAATCACTTTTTAAATTTTCAAAAGTGGGGTGGACACCTATTGCGATATGAGCACATGCTCATCATTTTATGGCACATGGAATGGCAGAGATAAAAAAGTAAGGCAAATATTTTGCCTATCACAATGGCGGGTAGTAGAAATGCATCGAAATGATGTGTTATGCGTCACGGAAAGTTAAAAACATGAATGGTTAGTAGTGACTACTGCTGCATTAGAAGGAAGAAGGAAGTGCAGAAAGGAAGGCAAAGAAGTTACCTTGGGGCATTTTATGCTGCATCAGGTAAGTTATAGTAAATTTGATAAAACACAACATTTTAGAGACAACATGCCTCCTATAATTTATACAATTTTCGTCATGGCAACATACCCCCCCCCCCCCATACACATCCCACACATTTAAAACACTATTGCATGCCATTATAAATAGGGTGCTATGGCAACTATTTAGGCATCTCTCTTGACTTGTAACATAGCAGACATTGTAACATATCACGGCACAGGCAAGACCGTGAATTTCAAACATTACTAAATCTTAGGCGCAGGAAGACCGAAAGGAGAAGACACAAAAAAAAGAATGACAACACTGAACGGGATGGTGTGTGTGTTGTCTCTTTTTTTTATCTCCTCTCTGTCCCCTTGCATCTAGGTTTACTGATGCTATGACATGTTCCAATCAATATATCAAGACTTAATCATTTCTAAATTGAGAAATATAACATGCAAAGCATACTGCAAGATCATAGGCGTGCACAGGGTCCTCCTATAGGGGGGGCCAAATTCACTGCAGCGCCCCCCCCCCCCCTCACCCCCGTCTCACCGAGACCCTTACGCCGTAGGGGTAAGCCTCTGGGGGTAAGGTGTTCTAGTGTACCCTAGTAGGAGTGCACTAGAACACCATATTTTAACCGCGAAATATGACTTCCAAGTTTACTTCAGTGTCACTATAAAACTACTCTTCAGTTTACTTTCCCGCAGATTACTTGGAAGTCTAATTATTGCGGTTTACGAATGGGGCCCGGAGAATGATAAGGCTTGAAATATGTTTGAACCTAAAAATTAAATCTGAGCTGTGACACCGAACATGACGTAATGCCACAAAACGTCATACTTGCCACTGTTACGTGTCATCGTATCCATACCCTTGTAGACCGCAGTAATTGGATTTGCGAGTGCTCTGCGTGAAAGTGGACTTACATGCGCTTTGAAGTGTGGGAGAAATAAGAAGATGAGATAACTTTTCTAACAACAAAAACGATTTATTGCCAAACAAAAGTGGAGACCCCCACGATAAAGAAACCACAGCTTGCACTCGTAGGGCACAAGCGCCATCACAAAACACAGAAAGAAAATGAATCGCACGAGGGCTCAGACGATACACAATTTCAGTTCACAAACGGTACTCTAAAAAAAAATTTAACACAACACAACAACAGGGCTGGTGCAAATGAAAACAGTAACACACAGTAAAATTAACTACACTATACAAAAGTACTATTCAAGCTGAGCTGTGCAAAAATACTATCAGTGTGAGAGGCGAACCTTAGTTCGGACGGAATTGGCTGTAAAGCACCCTCTTCCGCCGGCTGTCAACCAATTAAAAAGTAGAATTATGTGACATTGTAGGTTAATGCGAGAGCATATCCTGCGAAATTAAAACACATTCATAACAAAAGTTTGCGCGTTTTAGTCGTAAAATGCTTTAAGATATTATCAAAACTGATGGATGTTGCTAGGTCCTGCTCCACAAAGGGCAGCATCAGCCAACGAAGCCGTTCCTGCGACATCATGGATCTTAACTTGGTCTTTACATGTGCGAGCTTCGAAAATGTCCTTTCGCACGAGCAACTGGTTACAGGAATCGTGAAAAAAAGTTGAGTGCGAGAAAAGTCCTTGAATACTGACTTGTCCAACCCATTTTCTTTGAGTGAATCCAGCGCAGTCATAGGCGGTCATGCTGTTTGCTTTTTCGTCGCTGGTTCGGGACTTCAGGAGTTGCATTTCAGCACCCAAGCTGTCGGGATCTACCTCAAAAAGCTACAAATAAGAGATATTTGTTCGTCGCTCACAGAGAGGCCCAAAAGGTTCTGGAGAGCACACACAAGCTCAAAAGTTTCTTGTGTGAACCTTTCCTCGATCCCTCGAACACAGGAGTCGGGCATCGGAAAGAAAACACAGACACGAAATTCCTCCTCTTTTGTCGCATAGAAACATTCATTCGCCCAGTTTTGGTCAAATCGCTTCGATACCTTTCTTCTTCGAACTTCGGGAATCTCGATTTCATTCATCTCGCAGATCGAAGAAGCTTCCGCAAACATCTTTTTAAAGACTGTCCCATCTTGCCTCATCTCTCGCAGCGCTTTTTGCAGATGCCTGACTTCATTGAGTGCAGTGGTAAGGTTAATTTTAGGGTCCTCAAGAGCTCGGCTAACCTTCAAAATAAGCTGTAGAATAGGGTGAGCTATTTCCATGCTGCAGACAAAGTTAAAGCTCATCACCTGGGAAAGGAGTCCCTTGCCTTTTGCTTTCGTCTCCGGGTGCTTTGTGGAGTCCACAATCGTTCTTACTGCACTCGACAGTTCGCTGTAGCTCTCACAGCGAACTGGCCTTTACTGCTTCAGCACGACATGCCCATCTGGTTGTAGACAAAGACTTCAAAGTTTTCAGCTGTGTGCCGACAGTTTGGAAAATTCGCTCAAAAACAGCATGGCGCACAACACTGTTTTCAATAAAGTTGTACGCAAGTTGCACAACGCCAAAGAAATCAAACATCATTCTGTTTTCTGCTCAGGACAAGCATGCATCGACAAGCACCAGGTTTAAGCTGTGGGCCTAGCAGTGAACGTAGACGAGCTTGTTGTTCTGCTCTTTGCACTTTGCTTGAACGCCAGCAACGTGCCCTGACATAGTAGAAGCCCCGTCAAAGCAGACGGAACTCGCAGAATTCCAGGAAACATTGATGGTGTTGAGAACTGCTTGCAAAGTGGAAAACACAGAGTCGCTGTCTAAATTTTTAAGCCTGTCGAGAGTAAGGAAGACCTCCACTGGCCTGTTCTTAATTTCGCAGAAGTACCTAATAACAACGGAGAGTTGTTCATGATGACTGCAGTCACTTGTTTCGTCGCACATGAGCGAGATTGTTTTACCTTCTATGCGGTGGACAATCGAAGAAAAAATGGCTGCATGCAGTGACTCTAGGATGTCCTTTTTTATTCTGTTGCTGATGTAAGAAGCGTTTTTTGGGCCTGACTCTAAGTGGCCCCGCAAAACGGGGTCGTACTTCTTTAAGATATTAACTATCTCTAAATATAGACCTTGCTCTGCGCTTTCCTTATTTTCACTGTTGGCCTTCCTCCCTTTGAGAGAAGAACAACGATGTCAGTAAGGCGCTTTAGCACCTCACGATTTTGTTTTCGTTTTTCTTCAACTTGAGACGCTCGTCGTTCAAAGCTTTCATCCAGCATTGAACCAATCGATCTGTTTGCTTTGGAGCAATTCCATGACACAACACTGTTAAGATGGCCCTCAGACCTTTCATGCTGATTAAACCTTCCTATCGCTTTCTTCCAAGCTCGAAACCCAGTTGAAACAAAGGATGGGTCTAAATGTGCTTTGGTACCACTGCCCGGCGGAAACGCCCGACCACAAAAGCAAAAGGCTGCATCTTTTGCTGGACTGTATTCAAGCCAGCTGAACTTTGCAAACCAGTGTTCACAAAAGCTGCGCTTTCGATTATTCGTTTCTGTTTGGGCATAGCTGCCCAGATGAGGCTGAAAAGGACCCCGTGCTTGCCTGGCTTGCTTGTCCAGGTCGTTAGTCGGCATTGGCAGCGACGGGTTGTCGTCAGACATTTGGTTCTGGTTGGTGGAAAGCGTTGAGCAAAATCTCGGAGGCTCATCTGGTGCATCAGCGATGTGGCTTGGCGTCGTGGCACAGCTTGGCGTTGGCACACAATTCGGCATCGTGGCACAGCATGGTGAAGTGGCGCAGTCATCAGCTTGCTGGTGGCTGGGCATCTTTTCCGGTTCATTTTGTTCATGCTGCTCTTTGCAGCTTGTTGACTGTGCTGCAAACAAATAAGAGAAGTATAACTTTTTAGTTTTCTTTTTACCTGTTAACATGGCTCTTAGAACACGCTCGAAAAGAAGTCTGAGTAAACAATTACAAAACCAACTGCGCCAATAATAAATACATATTTTTGGAAATTTTACGACAGCTTTCTCATCGACAGCTCAGCATAGTCTCTCCAAGCTAACAACTAGGGATGCCGCAAACTTTTTTTCGAATCGAAGTTTCGATGATCGAATCAAGCGGTTCGAGAGGTTCGAAAGATTTCGATTTTTCGAATTGTCTATATCGTGAAATTCGACGGAGGTCGAATTTTCGAACTTGTTAAGCTAAGAAGTTTGACGCTTTTCGAACCGTCGAACTTATTACGCTAAGAAATTCAATCTTTTTCGAACTTTCGAACTTGACTGACCAAAAAATTCGATAAATTTCGAACTTTCGAACTTGTTTATCAAGAGTATTCGAAAAGTTTCAAACTTTTGAATTCAGAAAAGTCAGAAGTTCGACGAACTTCGAACTTCTAGGGTAAAAGTTCGACGTTCGTCGAACTTCGAAAGACCGGCGGACGGTTTCATTTGATTTAAAGTAGTGGGGTACATTCGTAATTTTTTTTCTCGCACTTTTACACGCGGTGTTGCGTTCCTTACAAAAGACAATGTCGTTTATTTCAATTTTCTGGCATGCTTAGGTTTAAAGAAATAAATCCCCGAAGGGGCGAGGAAGGACGACGGGTTTTTGACGATTATCGTTTGTGCCAGATTTGAAGCACGCTGCAGCCGGAGCTATTTATGGTAGACATGTTATACTTTTTTAAGAATGATCTATGTATAGCTTAGGCAAGTGCCGTCTTAAGATGTGATTATTGTTATTCAACGTGAGTTTCGAAGAAATGTCCAAACATTTATCTGCATGCAATTTTGACCTAAACTTGATATTTATTTTCGTCTAAGTTGTTTGAGGTATCGCATTTAAATTAACACCACAGACAGTACATATCATTGCCATCTGCAGAATACAAAATAATATATTTATTGTTTTTTCACGTTAAGGAATAAATTAACTCATGGGAGAAGGTGTCTAACAGTGTTCAAGTTCAGCAAAGAAAAGTTTTTTTTTTCTTTTTCGCTTCACGCTTTTGGGACGTGTTTCTTTTAGCCTGTACACATCTTGGTAAAAGAAACTTGTTTCGAAGTTCTAAACCTCTGAATATGCAAGAATAGAACACTTCCGACGAATTCTTGATAGTTTTTTTTTCTCCTACTTTTTATTTCCGCATTTATTCTTTCTTGTTTTTTTTTTTTTCTTGTTACTATCGGCACAGGTATTTAGGTCGAAAAGACAGCTTTGAACTTCCGAACCACTAAGCATGTGACGAGTAGTGCCTTCCGACAACGAGTTTCTAACAATGACCTTTTATGCAGTGAAGAGCGACAGTATCTATAGCTATACATAGGCATAAATAATTTCAGATTAAAATAAGCTCGACCACGCCCTCTTTCCCCGTATTGCTTTCTTTAACAGTCCGAAATACCTGCAAGGTAGAGGAGGAGGCTGAAGCCCCCTCCCCCCCCCCCCCCTCCCCCCTCCTCCCCCCCCCCCCCCCCGCTACCCTCTTTCCCCCCGTCTTTCCTCTTCCGACGCCACTTGTATGGTAGAACGCTCCTCGACCTCGAGTTGTGTCGGCTTTCATGCTTTTTGCGAGGCGATTCCTCCGTCCCAGAAAATAAACCTCCAGGACAATTATAAACTTCACCGGGTCGGATTACTACCAGCGTGCAAGGGGTGGCGAGCAGGTTTGTCAGGTCGCTTCAAAGTTTTTCTGAGCCTCAACCTCCTGCTCGCCCCTGGCCGTTTCGAACTGGATGAGTCTCGTAAAACAGTGTGTTCGTGTAATCACAACTGCGTGATGCAGGTGTTCAACTTTTGTCCTAGTTTGCTGCATGGACCTCATCACTGAGACCCAGGAGCCAAAGGTAGACCTGGAAAGACCTAGCAACCTTAAAGAAAGCAGCCCTGTTTTCGAAAGAAACATGGGAGCTGTAGAACAATGGGGACCAAGATCATCTTCCAGGTTGTCGAAAACTGCATGACTTTGGTAAAATCCACCATGGCACAATGAAGCACCACCTGGGCCAGTTGTGCCCCAGACGCTTTAACTCAACTCATTTCTAGTCAGATGATGAAATTACCACTGGGCACTAACTTGATTGGCAGTTAACAAGTGAAAAAACCAGGCTATGGACCAGGAACTGAGCAGGCATTTTAAGCAGTGCAAGGATGCCCCACTCAGGCACGGACGACACCAACCAAGATGAACCTTTAGCTTGTGCGGCAAAGTGTTGGATCAGGCCACCACCAGGGGTCAGTGTTTCTGGGGGCTTCCCTGTGCAACGGCCATGGGCTTTCTCTCTTTTCCCACACTTTCCAGTGACCATGTAACAAACATGTATGACACGGCCATGTCAATTATTCCCTAAGAAACAAATAGGTATGATCCTTGCACTCCATGGATGAAGCAGCCACCAACAATTTCAACATTGGTCTGTATGGAGTCAAAAAACAAGGAAATAAAGGAACTTCTGACACACAACTATTCTTGATGCATGCACACAATAGACTACTTCCATAAAGCCCTGCATGCAACACGGCGCGCGTTGCACTCTGGGAACTAGTTGGCCAGGGAGGAGAGTGGCATGGTTTCGGTTTCGATCGACACGTCGACCAGAGATTACACACAGAGCGTGGACTATAAACGGCCATTATCTCATGTTTTCTGGTCCCGGGAGCGTCATTTGTGGTCTATAAACTAACCTAAATGGCCAGACCTCGAAGCTTTAGCACAAGCCCGAGACGTATATAGCTTCTCTTAACACATGCTTGTTCTATTTTTGTACTTGAGCCTTTTTGTTAGCGTTTCGAGGTATCTGGACGAGCCAGTGCTGGGAATCTCGACGCTGCGAAGCTCGGGGATCTTGCTTATGTACGAATCAACAGGCTGTAGCAACCAATAAGTATGCATACATCGAGCTCGCGCCTTTACATTATATGTTGTTGATCAGGAAGTTTGTTCGTTTCGTGCGTCCATAGATGAAATATTACTTATTGCAATTACTGTTTTCTTAATACGCCTGTGTACGCGAAGTAAAACTCGGAGGTGCCATTGAAAAGCTCAATTATAACACACTTCTTATCTCTTATCTGTACTGACCCGCAGCACTGCACGAAGCGAAGTCCCCACCCACTTGCATTTTACTAATATTCAACATCGCGTATGCACGTAAAGTTATCCTGCAATCGTATAGGCACATTCGCGCATACAAACCGTTTTAAGAAAGCAAAAGTCGAGCACTTGTGTAAAAAATGTTTCACCATTCGCCAGAAGTACGCCGGACGGGTATGAACCCCTATGCGGTGCGCCAAACGAACGAAATTATTCAAAGTGCATTTGATGGTTGCTAATGGCCATAATATTTGTCATGTGTTAGCTTTCTTCCTGCCTGAGTATGCTGTGATAATTACGGACACACCGTTCAGGCACAGATCTTGGGCGTCAGTAAAAGCTCGTCCAAAAAGGCTTAGCGAGGAGTAGGGGACGCTTGTTAGGGCCTCCGTCGTAGCTAGCCCATCTCCGCGTTTGCGAAAACTTAATCTTCTATCAGCATAAAATTTGAGTGGGAGATATATGATGACACGAGGAAGACATCATAGTAACTTTGGTGCAGTAGTGAGGTCGAATTTATTGCGTTTCCTTAAAAGTTTACGCGTCAACGCTGGGCTCAACTTTGATACTCCTGTGAGAATGCGGCTTGCTTTTCGCCCAATGAAGTAACAAGAAGCGGACATTTGGCAAACAAAATATGTGTAATGCTCCAGGTGACTGAATTTCACTTGTAGTTCAATGGTACTAGACGGGATTATTGAAATTGAACTCAAAGATGATGTGACTAAGCCACGTCCTACTACGTTTACATACGCACTCAAATATCCGGTGTTTCGGGAACCAAAAAAAGTGCCCCGGCTTTCGTTTTATACCGCTCAAGAATGAGTATATTGTACATTCGTAAAAAAGTCAGATAATCGAAAACGCAAGCAGTGCGTTCGGTCGCGGCGTGATAGCATGAGATGAATCTGCTCAGTCGAAACCGAAACTGAGTGGCCAACTAGTTCCCAGAATGCACTGCATGGTATTTCGCCGCAATGGGGCGCGTCGGTTTTGGAAGAAGTCCATTGGCCAGCAGTCTCCTTGCAACATCTTGGACACAGCAACAAAACCCAGCCCTTGCACCTGTTACACTGAGTACGAGCGTCTGACAAAAACTAACTCACGGAAAGGAAATGGCGGCAGTTAGGTCTACTGCAAACGAACAAACACACAGATACCTGACAATAATTAAGTCTGCAACTACAATGAAATAAAATGAGACAGACCCAAAAGCTGCAACCGATGACCATGGAGGGGACATGGGTCTCGTGCCTCTGCAAGAAAAAACACAGAAACTGCAAAATTAAAATAGGCAAGTGGATAAACCAAAAGGGTCGGAGGCAAAGCATAGGCTCCCAGAAGCATAAAGGTGCTGCACGGTGAAGGCTCACATGGAAAGCTCATGAAGTAAAGGGATGGCTTGCAAATGTCTTAAGCAAGTGCAGAAGTGAAAAACTTAAGGATACAGAGAGAGTGCATATTTCGAGGTGTGCGAATGACACGAGGAAAGTTAACAGAAGAATGACGGGAAAAGACAAGCTAACATGGGCAGGAAGTCTCTGCATAGGCTTTCATGCAAGACACCAGGAAGGAAAGTGTAGGCTACAAACATCCACATGAAGCAAAAAAGGATGAGTGAAACATAAGCAGTGCACAGCACAAGAAGGAGGACAAGAAAAAAAAAACGTGATACAGAAGAGCAAGTTTGCATGACAGCGAAAGCTTCACATAGGCCTACACGCAGAGCAGAAGAAAAAGTGCTCCCCACAAAGAACCGTAGCAAGCGTAAAAAAATTCAGAGGCTTCATGCAGCCATACGCACAGAGCACAATAAAAAGAAAAGCTTCCCACAAACATCTGAAGCAAGCGTAAAAGTAAAAGAATATTCTGGGACTTCACTCAGGCTTACATGCAGAGCATAAGAAAAAGCAAGCTTCCCACAAAGAGCTGAAGAAAGTGTGAAAAAAATTTAGATGCTTCACGCAAACTTACACGCAGAGCACAAGAAAAAGAAAGGATTCCCACAAACATCTGAAGCAAGCATGAAAAAACACCAGAGGCTTCATGCAGGCTTGCACGTAGAGCATAAGAAAAAGAGCCCATAAACATCTCTAGTAAGCGTAAAAAAAATTCAGAGGCCTCACACAGGTTTACAGGCAGAGCCTAAGAAAAAAAAGCGTTCCACAAAGACCCATAGCAAGCGTAAAAAAAAATTCAGAGGCCTCAGGCAGCACACAAGAAAATGGGCTTCTTTACAGACCCATAGCAAGCATAAAAAAATTACAGATGCTTACAAGCACAGCACAAGAAACTTCCCACAAACATCTGTAGCAAGCATAAAAAAAAATGCAGAGGCTTCACGTAGGCTTACATGGAGATCACAAGAAAAAGGGCCTCGCACAAACAACCGTTGCAAGAGTAAAACAAATTCAGAAGTGCCTCGGTAAACAAGGAACGTAAAAAATGAAAGCTGCCCTTAACACAAAGAAGAAAGCAAAGTAAAAAAAAATGAGAACGGGACAACAGTTTCATCAACTAAGGCAATCTAAAACACTAATTAGTTCTCCGAGGTCCTGCCATCGACTGCCGAAGTCCCTGCGTTCAGCTGCCCCAGCCGCTAACTCGCGACTTTTTTCCCGCAGGAACAGTTGCAGCCGTGCATGGCAGAATCGCCTGATGAGCTTCATTTTGATTTCATGGCAGTCGGGCAGCTGAACACATTGGCTCTCTGCAGCCATCCTCGGCGATAGGCCGTCCAGGATGCCCCGTGCATGCATCAAATCCGCAATGAGGCTGCGAAAGACACTTTCACAAATTGTGAAGAGGGCACGTGCAGCTTCAGAGGGGCAGGTCAGAGCGTCAGGGACATAACTCTTTAGCCTGAGGAGGCTATTTGCAGGTGCCATGGGGACTTGAACAGCTGCAGCACACGTGTCACATGTAGCATTATTTTTTACAACTCCTTCGTACCACATACCCGCGTAATAGTCAAAGCTATTCTCCTCAGGTTGTGACATGGTGAGTTCTACCTCCTCAAGAAAAATGTCGGTGGGCACAGCAGGTTGTACATCCAAGTCTGCGAGGTCAGCCAGGTGAAAGGAGGCATCGTCCAGTTCGTAGGACCCTGCCTTGGACGCCTTCAGGTACTGCGAGTGTGTGATGATTTTCAAGGTCATCTTAAACTCCAAGAAGTTGGGATAGGGTTGCCCTGTCGCACTACCGAAAACAAGTTTTCATGGCAGTCCTGCGTGAATCTGGATGTGAGCACAAATGAAAAAGAATGTCTCTCAATGAGACTTTGCTGCAGGTCCAGAATGGACTTGGCAGAGAGGATTACCCCCGCCTGCACTGGCTTGAACGCCCCATCGCCAATAGTGAGGTGGAGAAAAAGATCCTTAAATTTGACCAGAAAGTCAAGGGTGTTCTTGTAGCAGGCCTCATTTTGCCTGCTGATCACAAGGACTGGGTGCCTGCTGCTCATAAGATCAAACCATTTGTTGACCTGTTCCAAGAACCAAGCCGTGGTGAGGAAGTTGGTGCTCCAGCCATGATTCTCCACCAGGAAGCGCAGGGCAGTGGCCGTGGAGTGACTGAGGACCCGTAGGGCAGTGCTCACCTACAAACACAGAACTGCTTTAGATCATCAAGTGTATGCAATGTTTGGTAAACTCGACTGAAGGAATCAATGATTTGAAACTTCCCCCTCAGTCAATAAAAGAACAGCATGGGCACTAAACGAAGAAAAGGCTGCTAACTTCCATTATTGTTGTTCATACGAATGGTATTTGCTGGTTTTTTACTAGTTTTTGCCACTCTCTTAAAGTTGGCAGTTCCACTTCATGAGCAAAGGTGATGAATGCCAGCACTGAAGTAAAGTACACTCCATGGTTACTTTGGTAGCTGTGCGTTGCTAAAAGTGTCACCGACTCCGATTTGTGAACCACTGACTGATTTTGTTGAAAACACTTTAAGGGAAGCTAAAGAGGTTCTCAAAAAAAAATGAGTTAGAGGTAAATTCTTCCGTATTTGTATCCTGCAAATTTGAATATGCACTATTTGCTCAAGAAGTATCACCCAACGCAAAGAAATATTTAAAAAATTCACTCGGCATGATGTCACGTCGAGAACTTTCACCTGGCCACCGAAGCTCAAGCACCATCTCTCGTGCAGTGTTCCGGCACATGTGACCAGCCTTGCCCAATGCAGCGCTTTTTTTATTCTCGTGAAATGGTGCGTCATCTGCTACAGACGCCTAGTTCCCGCTACAACCTTTCACGCCTGACCAACATCCGCTAAATCTTTTATGAAAGTTTATAGGTGTACTAAACTTACGTCAAAACAAACAGGCGAGTGAAAATCGTGAGCATGAGGTGAATCGCACACAATTTGTCGACCACTCAAATAAGCTTGCAATAGCTGCAGAGATTCCGAGGATCCTTGTTGCGACGCTGCTGTCTCTCAGAAATTTCCTCCTAGCTTCTTACACCTCGGGAGGGCGGGGCTTCACCGCTATGGTCAAAATGCTTTGATGGCTACTCCGGGCCTCAAATTGACAAATAATTTTAATATTCGTGATACTGGAGGCCATATGAAGATGATGCAAGTGTTTTTTAAAGGTACAAAACCGCTTTAGTTTCCCCTTAAGCAGGCACGTGCGAATAACAAATTTTATGTTTCAAGCGAATAAGAAGCTAATAGTGACTTGGGTCGAATAATTTCGAATCGCATATTGAATACTTGCTGTGCCTTTCTGATACTGCCATTGCGCTCAGCTTCCGCCATCTTGACAGTGTTGATGTCAAGATGGCGGAAGGTAGCTTAGCTTAATGGAAGCTAACCTAAGTTAGCTTCCAGTCGTGTGTAACTAGCTTAGCTAGCTATAAACAAGCTGAGCTACATGCTAACTTAGCTTAGCACTCTTACCTTAGTACACATTTTTCAAAACATTATAGTATTTGAGTGATGAATGAGTGTGAACGAGTATGAATAAAAAGTCATTTTAGATATGATATAAAGACTATCATACCTAAAACACCTAATATTGTCACGGGTAGTGACCAAAAATAACAAATAAACAGGAAGAAATAAACGTTTAATGTGGCGAACTTGTGCCAAAAATAAAAGAGTACAAAAGATAATAACAAAGCGTCGCGGGCGTCGAAATCGGCGAAACCGCAGGATCGAGCGCTGGGGCGAGACTGACTGCGGCTCGCCACGCGGAGCCCCTTATGTACATGCGTGGTCTGCTGGAATAATCGGCGTAGAAACTTCGACGCGTGGAACATTCGGGCCTGGAACAAGCAACATGATTCTCGAATTCTCCAGAACACTAAATTACAGGAATAAACAAAAGACACGTCGCTCCCAGGATTCGAACCCCAGCTTTTCGCGTGGGAGGCAGGCGCGATAACCATTAGGCCACGCGCGCGCTGCCTACTTGGACAGCGCGCGCGGCATTACTCCCTCCTTTAAAAAGTGCATCGCCCCGATGCAGCACAAAACAAAACAAAGCAAATAAAAGGAACGGTAAACTAAAGAGTATTTGGAATACGTAAGGTCCACTGTCCTATCGAGCGTAGTACGGCTTCATGCGCACGACGTGGACGACTTCTGGTCGTGGAGGGCGGCGTGATGAAGTCCGTGTTCCGTCGGGCATCACCTCGTAGTTCAGATCCCCGAGTCGACGAAGCACTTTGTAGGGTCCAAAGTAACGTTTCAGGAGCTTCTCGCTGAGACCGCGGCGGCGAATCGGTGTCCACACCCACACCCTGTCTCCGGGCTCGAAGTGGACGTCCCGACGACGAAGGTTGTAGCGGCCAGTGTCGACACGTTGTTGAGCCTGAATCCGAAGTCTGGCGAGCTGACGGACTTCTTCTGCCCTTTGGGCAACCACCTGGGCGTCGTCGCTTGCGTCGAGAGCCGCTTCGTGGGGTAACATAGCGTCCAGCATTGTCGTTACCTTGCGCCCATGCACCAGCTGAAAGGGTGTCATTCCGGTGGTCTCTTGTACGGCCGTGTTGTAGGCAAATGTGACGTACGGCAGCACCTCGTCCCATGTCTTGTGCTCCACGTCGACGTACATGGAGATCATGTCGGCGATGGTCTTGTTGAGTCTCTCCGTTAGCCCGTTGGTCTGCGGGTGGTACGCCGTGGTGCGGCGATGGCTGGTGTGGCTGAGACGAAGGACTTCTTGCGTCAGCTGGGCCATGAATGATGATCCACGGTCTGAGATCAGGACTTCGGGAGCGCCGTGCCGGAGGACGATGGATTCAATGAAAAACTTGGCAACTTCCACAGCAGTTCCGGAAGGAAGGGCTTTCGTTTCGGCATACCGCGTGAGATAATCTGTGGCGACGATGATCCAGCGATTTCCCGACGTCGACGGCGGAAAAGGGCCAAGTAGATCCATTCCGATCTGCTGGAAGGGTGCTGTTGGCGGAGGAATTGACTGCAAGAGTCCGGTTGGCCTCGTCGGAGGTTTCTTTCGTCGCTGGCATTCATGACATGATCGTGTGTACAGGTGGACGGTTTTGGGGAGCTTGGGCCAGTAATACTTTTCACGAATACGGGCCAGGGTCCGGCTGTAACCAAGGTGTCCGGACGTCGGGTCGTCGTGGCAGGCTTGAAAGATCTCCTCCCGAAGGTCGGTCGGGATTACCAGCAGCCATGGCGAGTTGTTGTTCCCGAAGTTCTCTTTGTAGAGTACACCTTGTCTAATGGCGAAGGTTGGCAGCGCTCGTGAAAAAACACGTGGCATGGCACTCCCGCGCCCTTCCAGGTGCTCTATTAGTGCGCGCAGCTCAGGATCGTCTCGTTGACGCTGGGCCATGTCGTCGATGTTCACTGCGCCCAGAAAATACTCGTCGTCATCGTCGTCGCTGCTGCCGGAAGGTGTTGCGACGGGAGCTCTGGACAGGCAGTCGGCGTCGCTGTGCTTGCGGCCTGACTTGTAGACGACGGTCATGTTGAACTCTTATAGTCGGAGACTCCACCGCGCGAGGCGTCCTGACGGGTCCTTGAGGTTCGCAAGCCAGCAGAGCGAGTGGTGGTCCGTGACTACCCGGAACGGGCTCCCGTATAAGTACGGACGAAACTTCGTGATTGCCCAGACGACCGCAAGGCATTCTTTCTCAGTCGTGGAGTAATTTCTCTCCGCCTTGGTCAATGTCCCACTTGCGTAGGCGATGACTCGCTCGGTGCCTTCTTGTACTTGAACCAAAACCGCGCCAAGCCCTGCGTTACTTGCGTCCGTGTGAATCTCGGTTTCCGCATCCTGGTCGAAATGTCCAAGAACAGGAGGAGTCTGCAGTCGTCGCTTCAGCTCGTCAAATGCCTGCTGCTGTTCATCGGCCCATTCGAACTTCTCGGCGTCCTTCGTGAGGTGTGTGAGTGGTGCGGAAATTCTTGCGAAATCTCGAACGAAACGCCGATAGTAGGCACATAGCCCAAGGAACCTTCGGACGGCCTTCTTGTCTCTTGGCGCTGCAAATGCTGCGACGGCACGAGTCTTCTCGGGGTCTGGGCGGACACCTTCGTTACTAACCACGTGGCCGAGGAACTTCAGTTCGTCATAAGCGAACCGACACTTTGACGGCTTCAGGGTGAGTCCGGCGGTCCGTATGGCTTGGAGAGTTGCTCGGAGTCGTCGCAAGTGCTCGTCGAAGTCGCTGGAAAACACGACGACGTCGTCGAGGTAGACGAGACAGCTCTGCCACTTCAGTCCTGCCAGTACGGTGTCCATGACACGTTGGAAAGTTGCTGGCGCCGTGCGCAGTCCGAAGGGCATCACTTTGAACTCGTACAGTCCATCCGGCGTGACGAAGGCTGTCTTTTCTCGGTCCTTTTCGTCGACTTCGATCTGCCAGTAGCCGCTCTTTAGGTCCATCGATGAGAAATATCGAGAGTGGCGCAGCCGGTCTAGAGTGTCGTCGATGCGGGGGAGTGGGTAGACGTCTTTCTTCGTCACCGTGTTCAGCTGCCGGTAGTCTACACAGAACCTAAGCGTCCCGTCTTTCTTCTTAACCAGTACGACTGGAGAGGCCCAAGGACTGCTTGAAGGTTGAATTATGTCGTCGTTCAGCATTTCTTGCACTTGCTCCTGGATCGCCTGCCTTTCTTTAACGGAGACTCTGTATGGCGATCGATGCACAGGGCGCGCGTCGTCCTCGGTAACGATGCGGTGCTTCGCAACGGTGGTTTGGCGCACCTTCGACGACGTGGCAAAGCAGTCGCGGTATTCGGCGAGAAGGTTAATCAACTGTCGTCGTTTCGGGCCCGGGAGTTTAGGGTTAATGTCGAGCTGCGCTGGCGACGCACTGTCTTGCTGAGGTGGCGAGAATTCGTCAGTAATGGCGGCGACTGCGGCGGAGTTTTGGAGTTCCTCGACCTGGCCCACGGCTGCACCTTTTGTGAGGTGTTGCGCTTCATTTCGGAAGTTCGTGACGAGGACCACAGTGCGGC